CACCTCCGGGGCAGGCGGGAATCGAACTCATGCGGAAGCGGCTTTAGATTCTCAATGCTGTGCTCTAACCCGCTGCGCCACCAGGGAGGGCCTCATTTCTTATTTTTAAAACAAAGTTTTCATTGAATGATTTCGAAGTTATCATTTTTTTTTTTTTAAAGCTGAGCTCACAGAAATCCTAAGAAATTACATGTGAGGTGTTTTTTTTTTACTTTTGAGATCTTTTAGTGCTGTTAAAAAACTGTCTCTTTCTTAAGTAACGCAGCTCAAATGCCAGTTATCATGTTCCTGAAAATAAAGCCTGGTGTTTGTTACTAAGGAGTTAGTTCTGAAACTGCTTCCCTATTAAACTTGGAATTTTTAGAGAATTCAGCTCTTTCTTCAGCCATAGTAATTTTCTTACTCATGAAATATGAGTATTTGTCTTCTCCTGGAATATAAGCTATTTTGACTATACTAGAAGATGAACTCTAAACAATCCATCTTGGTGTTCTCATCTAAGTGTCATAATTTTAAGTAGCATATAAATCATTCTAAAAATCCCCAGTTTAAATTATCTTTAACCTGGACCTCACCTCTGACACACTGCTGTATTTAGTTGCTTGGTCTGTATCTCCATTTGGAGCCGATCCAAGCTTGATGCATTCAGCAATGAGACTCCTCTCCTGCCCTATGTCTTCTTTTCTTCCTTTCATCTGAAAATGGCAACTCCTCCTTTCCATTTCCTTGGCCAAAAATCTTGAAATCACCTTGCATTGTTTCTTCATATACACAAACCTAATCACTTTGCAGTATTGCAACCTACTGTCATCTCTTGCCTGATTTGTTAGATCTATTGACCTAACACATTTGTCTGCCCTGTGCACACTCTTCAGAGTGTTCTACAAGAACCTTTTAAAATGAAAATGAGTTCATGTTATTTTCCTTCTCACAGTTCCCCGTGATTTACCATGTTACTCAGTGATAGCTAAGATCCTATGGTTTTCTCAAAGGCCTTTCATGATAGGACTTTTGGTTACCTTTCCAGACATATCATATTCCTGCTACTCTTGTAGTCTTCTCTGGCACAACCACCCTCACCTTTTTGCTGTTCCTTGAAAACATCAAATTTACTTAAATTTAGAGGCCTCCACAGGGCTGTGCTTTAGTCCCAGGCAGTAGTTGCTCTGCATAGCTGCATGGCAACTGTTTCTACCTTTTATTAGCTCTGCATTCTGCATGTTTTCTCAGAGAAACTCTCTTTGATCACTGGCTAACCCTTTTATACTATTAAAGTTTTACTTTAATCTGTCTCCCATATGCACTCCATGCTGATGACTACTGTTGATCCTCTTTATCTTTCCTTAGGTTCTTTATGCAAATACAAGTAAATAAATAGTATCAAACTGTATATATTTTTGTGATTTCCATTTTTCACTTAATGTGTTAAGTGTTTTTCCATATTGAGTCATAGAGAGCTTCCTGATTTTTCTTCTGCACAGTTTGCATCGAGTAGCTATACCTTAATTTATTGAATTGACTCCTATTGGTAGGTTAGGTTAGTCCATTCCTTTGCTATTCACACAGCATTCCATTGAACCGCTTTGTAAGTACGTATATTACATGAGTGTTGGCATAGTGTAGTGTTAGTATGGGATATAGGCTAAGAAACAGAGTGTGTAGAAAGTATGTACTTATAATTTTGGTACGTACTGCAAAATTATCTTGTTTACAGTCCCATTCACTGGGTGAGTGCTTATCCCTCCCGCAGACTGGCCAACATTCTGTATAATCAAGCTTCTGATATTTTTGCCAATCTGACAGGCGAGAATCGTTTCATAGTATACTTTAAATTGTTTTTTCTTCTAATATGAAGGAAATTGAGGAACTACAGAAGCATTGTTGAATGAATGGAATGTTGCTCAATAGCTAAAACGTGCCATAGGAACAATACTCTCTAGTCTCTGTTTTGTTTCCTTAGGTCTTAGCATGACTGGAGAAACATTTGTAGTTAATGTTCCCTTTCACGTAGAACTAGGACTTGAATGGTAGCTTCTTGAACAGTTAGTTTCAAATAGTTTTGTTCAAATTGAATTAATAAAAATGAATAGAACTGTGATAATAAAAAAATTATAGTTTCTAAAGTATTTTTACTTCATTATTTCATTTGAACCTGACAGCAGCCCAGTTCTCATTTTCATGTGAACGATAAAGAAACTCAGACAAGTCAA